CACGCCGATTGGATTGGGATTCCACTCAATTGAGCGTTCATTGTTCCAAGCCTAAGTGATTAAACATTTTTATACTTTTAGTAGGTCTTTGCAGCTCTGTTCTGGAATTTATTAGCCATTGTTTGTTAAAATTTTGGCGGTTTACGTAAACAATGTTGCAAGCTGTCTAAAAATTAACTCTTTAATTAACCGATTTGAAAAAAAGGATGTGGTTCTCAATGAGACTGTATGTTTTTTTTGTATGTATGTTACGCGATAACTCACGGCATTTGTGAACCGATTTTGATGATTCTTTTTTTTTTGTTAGAAAGAGGGTAACTCAGAAGTGGCCCCATTTAAATTTGAAGAAAATATTCCGCCTCTAAGGGTGGCAAACTAGGGGATGAACGACTAATCAGGTCGATTTTTTTTAGTATTCTGTACTGAGATTATTTGTTTAAAGCAGTTTCAATATTACAAATAGGATCTCAGAATTTGTATATGAAAATATTCGATTTATGTATAAGTAACGTCTGTGAGATAAGAAAAAGCCTTGGTAGCCATTAGGTTCCATCAAACCATTAGGTTTGATCTACTGTTTCAGGTTCGAATCCGGCCTTACACCTTTGAATTTCTTGGAATTTATGAAAATTAATTTGTAATTTATCATGATCCTTTTTTGGTGAAGGAAAAGCATCGTGATGCAATCTGCACGTCTAAGAAAGTCTCAGTACCCTCGAAAAACGTGTGAAGTCCGCAACCTGCATTAGGCCAGCGTAACGGACTATGGCCTAAACTAAACCTCGCCAGAGAGGAGACCCGTACCCAGCAGTGGCACGTATAAATGGGAGATGATGATGATAAGCACTGTCTATCTACAGTTCTGTTAGCTGGTTATATTGTTTATTCATTGTTAAAACTTCAGTTTATGTGTTTAAAACAGTCCCTTCGAAAGAGAGGAACATTGCTTTTTGCGCAGGCACAGCCTTATGATTTTTTTACGACCGTCACAATTAGCTAATTGATTTTTATCTCACAGACCTCAGCCGGAATGATGTAAGATTGCAAATATTAGTTGCCTAGGTAGACAAGAAATTATTAAGGTTAATCCAATGTAATCTTTATATATCTATTAATAGGAGTTAGTCGTAGTTAGCCTTCGTCTTTCTGTTGACTATTTGTGTGGTTAAAATGCAAATGGTTTTTGCATTTCTGTTTTGTACAGCATTGCTTAATAATAATAATAATAACAATGTGTATGATAATCACACTAATTACCTTATTTCAAATAAGGGATTTTTGTTGTACATATAGGTAGCAATGACCTTAATTTCCCGGCAGCACTCGGAATATACAGGCCGAAGTTAATTTTGAAAAGTTTGCCGCCTATTTAGGTCCTATCTGAAATAGAAGCCGTGACCTTCATTATTTAGCGTGCGCAGTGCTAACTGCTGGGTCACTGAGGTAGTCAGTTGTCAAAAAGTAAACTTTCGTTACCCTAAAAAAACGCACGCTATTTTATAATATGAATAACATTACGAAATTATTTGCAAATTTTACGAATCGAGTAATTTGAGTATGGCCATGAATCACCGTGAACCTGTTATTCCGTCTGGGCATCTCAATTCTGATGTCATGATTGACCTTTTGAAAATGCTCGGAATGAATGAACAGGAAATAAAGAGGGTGGAGAGGATGTACTCAATTGGTTCGATTCAATTGAGTAATTCAAGGTTTAAAATTTTTAGTTCAGTGTCTGATGAGATGAAAATAATCTCAAGTGGAGTGTATTTTTCGAAGAAAAGTAACTAAGAATCAATAGTTACGTAAAAACAATCGTAACGACTCGTCGTAAAAATACATAAGATCTTTCAGCATTTCTATGACACGTCGCGGCTTAAACGTATGGTATTATAGATGTTCTATTCAATTACCTAATAGTTAATGAAACAAATGCCACAATACCTGCCTTAAAATATTTAAATAAGGAACATGTTACCAAGAACGTTTCTAATTAGGTTGCTAAGTAGGAAAAGTTACAAAAGGCTCTAATAAAAAATATAGTATTCACCAATCACAAGAGGCTTTTCACATTGTCCATTGAAATGTGAACAACTGGCCGATCATTGTTTATTTAAAGCGAGGGTTGTGGACAGATTGCTATTTACACTTAAAGTGATTAAAATAGAGGAGATAGACGATAAAAATGAGTTCATTATCATTTTTTTAAACACAAAATAGACAAGTTCTTAGGATTTCACGAATGTTACATATTGCTATTAGCCATATTGTGAGACCTGTAAAAGGCCCGAAATGTTAGGTTTTAGAAAAAAACAAATATACGCGATTTAGAGCAAAAAATAAAAATAGTTATTTAAATTATTTATTTATTTATAATAATTATTTAAAAATATAAATAGTTAAACAGTAGTTTCATTTTCAAGAAAATAGGTAAGAGAAACAATTTTAATCTATTCGGGAAACTTATTTTTTCCCCACTTAGTAAGTATTAAGTAAATTTATATTTTCCCGGGTAATTAAATTAATTTCCAAATTTAGTTTGGTACTGCCCGAGACTTCACCACTAATATAGTTTTTGTTTGTGTTACTTTTTATTTGGTTATTTTATTTAAGTTTATATTTATCCTATTTACGTTGTTTTTGCAAACAGTGCTCAATCATAAATTAGTTGTGCAATTAGGTAAGATCTTCACCATATTTCATTTGTAGTGCATAACATTGTAATAACCGTAAGTGAATCAAAAACCTAAAATGACTCTCTAAAGAATATTATAAGAATAAACGTAAAAATGGACAACTCTTAAAAATTCAGGACATCCTAGGAGATAAGCTCAGTTACTTATAGAGTTGTATTGAAATACCAACCTTAGATTCAGTATGGAAAAAAAACGTTTGTGGTTGCATCAAAGGCTACAAGTAGACTCGTAATGACATGTAAGAAGATATGTAATTAGGTAATACATGGAGAGAATCGGTTTTGGTGATACAATTTGTAACAAAACCTTTATTGCTTCGCAATACAGGTGAGGTTTATTATACATGAGAACTTGAGTGGTGATCAGAGAGCAGTGACATGTGTCAATGTGGTTAAATCATAGGCAAGCAGACTTTGAATTTTGTGATGTAAATTTTTCACTCAAGGAGTAGATTTATTATCAAATTAACACTTAGAAAATGATATTCTAATTCTGATAGAGACAAAACATTTATTTACTTGTAATTTAACTCAAACAGAGTTAGGCTCAATTTATATTGGGGCGGAACGGAATGGGAGCGAATATTTGTTACTATTTTGTACATAGCATAATGAACTTTATGGTCAATTACTGTAACGTACAAACTAGATCCAGAGAGAGCCAAAATCTTCCGCGGAATGCGCGAGCACTCTCGAGCATGCGCGAGAATTCCGCGGAAGACTTGACTCGTATCCAGTTTGTACCTTACACTATTGGCCATAAAGTTCATTATGAATAGGTACTTACACTATTGGCCATAAAGTTCATTATGATATCGGTATGGAAGCGAATTTTTGTAACGATATTGTGCATATGCACAAAAATTCGCTTCCAGTCCGTTCCGCCGAAATATAAATTGAGCCTCACTTAGGCTGTATGTTTTAGGTCATGTTTACCATTCATGTATTTATTACATTTTAAAAAACAAATTAATTTTATAATAATATATAATTATGAGTATTTAAATTCCATGAATAAATTTTGATATTTAATTCCCATATTAGTCACCCAACAGTATAAATATAGATTAATACATTCAAACCAGTATCTATGTACCTATTGTTCGATGGTTACAAAAACATAAAAATGATTTCAAATTTTTTAAGCGAATGGAAGTTGATGTAATTAAGGCGTAAATTGCTTATGCAATTTCATTGTCAGATTCACGTTACAGTAATGTTTCATAAATTTTGGCAAATTGTTGATTGTGACTACGTTTTATTTACAGTCTTGTACCTAGTTTAGAACTAGCATTTCTATGTGAAAAACTGTTTAATATAGAGACGCAAACTATGGAAAGTGTACAAGATATTGGTCTAAGAGCTGACAGAGAGTGTATGAACAGTGAAAAAGAATAGATAGATTTCTAAGACATTATAGAATTCAGTTACAGTACCGATTATTGGAATCCTATTTAAAAGTTTGGAAAACATTTTCTGATAACGGAGTCATGTGGTTTCTATTAGTGGACTGAGCTGGTTGTGACGACACTTTCAAATCTTGGGCAATATATTCAAAATGAGTCAGACCAAAATGATGTGGTAACGGTAAATTCGATGACTCTAATTTGTCATACTTTTTAATATTGATTGACATCTTAAGATTTATGAATAAATTACTCTACAGGCATGCGTATGTTATAGGACAAGATTTACTATTTAGCTGTGTCATATGAGCAATACAAGATGAGAAAATGATTCGGATGGCGTGCATATGATGAAGATTTATTTCTTTTTGTTTCCACCACTTGAAGGCATGACTTGATAAAAAATACATGCTGTAGCACCTGTCGTATAGAATCTGTGTTATATTCAGATTCATCAGTAGATATAAGGCACTTTATCTCGACAATGATGTTACATAGATTACTTATGCGTCAAAGAAGATAATTATGGCAAACGTACTCAACACAAAGAAACTGTAAACTTATTATCTACACGAAACTAAACACTACGCACACAAAGGGCACAAAATCACAAGAACACAGTATGAAACAAGTCAGTCTTGACTGGCGCGCATAATCGTGCATATTACTAGAATTGTCACATTATTGGTAAAAAGAGCTGCGCAGGCGACGACGAAGGTAGCGCTCGCGCCGCGCCTCGTCTCACCTATACGCACACATCGCCTTTGGTAAATTCTTTGCATAAATAAACGAGAAAGCTCCCCTATCTCGCAAACTCGTAAATTGAAGTTTTCGCCACAATCACTCCGCGAAACAGAAACTCACTGCTTCTAAAGAACTTATAAAAATGTCTCCCTTACCTTACACTGCGCAGTAATGATGTCCTAACACGATCGATGAAAAGAAACAAGCGAAAAGTAGTCACAGTCACGTTCGTCCGAATACTTCGAGAGCAATGGCGCCGGTTCTGTTCCAAGGAAGGTAAGCCTTGTTTGCTCAGTGACGCCAACCGAGCCTCATCTCTTCCGTCCTTTTCATACTGTACATACAATGAATGCATTAAAATGAGACCGGTATAAGTGCGCTGTTTCTGTAGTAATGTACCTGTAGTGCAGCAATTCAGGTCTTGTGTTGGTTGTTCGTCTCAAAAACGGTGCAAAATATTTACATTTAGTCCCCTATAGTTCGATGTCAGAACGTCAGTTTGACCTAAAATCAGGTAATGTGTTGATTCACGTGACTTCAGCCTTTTAAGAATAGAAATAGCTATGTACATTGAATAACACGTATGACACACAACATTATCGTAACTGAAAAATAATTTGCTTACTTACCACGCATTAAAATAATATAAAAACAGATACCTACAACCATTGCTCCTAGTACATATACATACATATCTATACATTGCGTCTAGTATATAATTATCATTTATACTTACTAGAAACAATGGAGAAATAATTCTTTGCTAATTCTTATCATCAATTTTGTCGTTTGTTGCTTCACATAATCAACAAAATTAAAAGCGAACATAGATTTATGCAATACGTATAAAAGATACATACACAAGACAGTATTGTACACATGACTTACTGAAAGATGGAAGTATTCAAGATATAAAATTAAATATTTTCTAGAAATGTGATTGTAGAGTCATCTATTGACTTTTTATGGAAACACTAAGTGTAGAGCAATGCTACGTTGCATCACTTTATATTATAGACGTGGTGTAGAGTAAGAAACTATCAGTTGAATTAATACGACACAAAAACTATAGGTGGCGCTTTAGACATTTTGCAATGTTATGGTATAGTAGTTACTACAGATTTTAATTACGAAGTTAAGGTGACTAAATAGGCATAAAATCGTGTAATTAGTGCCTTTTGAAACAGCAAAGTCAATCAAAATAAACGACACTTCGGGAATTGATAATTAAATTTAAAGAAATACTAAATAGGTACAATATGCCCTGTGCCCGCTGGTTTGAAATTTTCATCTACGGTAATGTAGCTTTTAGTAGAGATGTAAGTCCAGATAGTAACACGTCTAAAGTTGGATAGCTACCACTTTCTTACAAAATATTACTGTAGCTAATATATCTTTAGAAGTGAATAACAATGTTCACTTTCATATCTTTTATTAATTTATATTTAATTTTGTATTACTGCTTTCCTAACCGACGTTAAGAAAAGGAGGACGTTCTCAATTCGACTATATGTTTTTTTAAGTTAACGATATAATATAAACATCCTGACAAAAAAATTGTAACAAAAAGGTCTTGGTTTTATTTTTTCTATAAGTTGTAAAAAATAGTAAAAAATAATTCTTATTGAAGACTTATTTGGAATAAACACAGGCTACGACTTTCGAGTGAAATATTGTCTCTAAGCTAACGAGAGGAAGACGAAAATTTTCTTTATTGACCCTCCCCTTTATTGGTCCCCCTCTGTCTTCAGCCTCTCATTGCTGAGGATCCTGCGTGACTTTGAGCAACTATTCCATATATATTTTTTTCCATTCCACTTTACTAGGTGGAGTGCGGCATTCACCGGTGTTACCAAATTTTCAGCTACCTGGTCACACCATCGTTTTAAACTTCGTCCTCATTATGTCAATGTAAAAATTTAACAATTTATGTGCCTCAATATAGCACACAAATTTTGCCAAATACCTATCAGAAGAAACAATCGTAACTGTCGATACCATGTTAAAAAAAGATGGAGAGCGAGCGAGTGAAAGCATTGTGCAAACTTTAATCTTATACTGTCGTTTGTTCATCCTTTGTATAATAAATATTTATATGAAAGTGGCCACTTTCTTTTAGCCATCAGGCTTGGAAAATCTAGTAAATCTTTAACGATAAATACATCACCAACTAAACGTATGTGCTTGGTTTACATTGCAATGTTAAACAAAAACATTAAAAGTAACAAAACAACTTGAAGCAAAAGGCAACTAAGTACTGTAAGCTGAAGGTCATGTCATGACACATCCAGATCTTGTGCTTGTGATCTCTGACTCTGGCTACACATACAGTCATTTAAACCAAAACTTTTTTCCTTAGTCGGGTTTTCTATTATTTTTATTTATTTTGTTTTTAATCCTTGAAGACGTGGGTTGACATTGTTAAAATTACGACACAATAAAGGAAAACCGAGTGATGATTCTGCGTGAGGATTTTGTGCAAAAATTTCAAATGGCAGATTTGAAGTTTTAAGGAAATTTAATAACCTTAATCAGCCTTTCAACGTTCTGCATTCTAAACACAGAAGATTGATTACTAACGGGATTTATTTAAAAGTACAATACTAGAAACAGGTTTCGGAACGTAACTAGTATTTCTAGACGATATTTGGCTGACTATTTTGTGTTATTATCGGTCGTTTTAATCCGTTAACTGCGATTAACCTGAATATATTCGCATCTATCAATCACGGTCTCGGTATTAAGAGCTAGAGTATAGTTTGTCAGTTAGCTAATATTTAGCAAATAAACATAATATACGTTCAAAAACGAGATTATTTTATAGATTGCCGTTTTCCCTTTTTCATGTTGATTGAAAATACTTCATATCAGTAGTACAACAGGAGAAGATTAAAGAATATTTGGAAAATAATCTATGGAAATAATGTGGATACGCACTAAAACCTTTTTGGAATATACAGTAAAGGCTTGCTTTTTGGTTGGCCTTATCAACCAAATACGTAAAGGACCAAATACATTTTTCATCACACATCACACATCACATTTTTTAAAATGTAAAGTAAGAGGCAAAGGAGCAGGCCAGCTACTTGATAGGAGGTAGTCATCATCGACCATGGACATCTGCAACATCAGATGAGCTGTGTATGTGGTGTCAGTCTTTGAGCACCCCTTTACACGCTTTTTGAGAAAACTATATTATAGCGCAAAGGAAATATTTCAGGAGGGAGCCCATTCCACATTTCTCTTGAATATTCCAGGTTATTAATATTAATCCTTTCCTTTTTATGTGTGAAGGGTGAATACCCTTTATTAATTCTTGTGTGATATTAAATGCTCTAATAATATGATACTTTAGTTTGTTATTTGTCCATAATTGTTTCTTTACCTTAGGTACACACACCAGATAACCAACTTAGGTATGATATAAAACACAAGACACGCATACGGTCTTTGTAAAACATCTTCAAAGTAAAGAAAATGATGCTTCAGAATTATTTGAATGCCTAAATATATAATTTGTAAGTATTCTACTTAAATATAACGTCACTGGAAAGGCGGTATTACTAACCTCCAAAAGGCCAAAATGGCACTTTTAGTACTTTCGCCTTTCCAGTGACGATATTATATACTTAAGTCTATTATGAATGACACTTTAATATTATTGAATTCTATTTGTTGTTGATATTACCTATAATTCTTTGTATTTTTATTATTAATTATTTGTTTGACTCCCCAAAATTTTGCAGTGTACCCTACGGGGTGTTGCATGTTATACACCTACATTAGCTTAAGAACACCTCTTTTATATCGACGTGACTTGCAAATAAAGAATATGAATTCCACCTCCACAACACAGCGATCAGCCGAAGAGGTTCTTCCAAAAATAAACACCTTGCTGCTGCCTAATCGTTGGCGTTCTTGTTCTGAATTAACCGGTAACAAATATCGAAACGAATACTGGCCCAAGCTTTGTTGCCGCCATTAAGGAAAAATAGTAATAATATTGTTTACAGGTTCTTGAACCTGAGTCCATGACCGACTGTACCATTGCCATGGTATGCCGCTTCAGTCCGCCTCTCCTATTTAAAAATTCAAAAGTCATCTTTTAGACCGTGGGAGAGGCGAGAGTCTAAAATAAATATCCAAAATAATAATAAAAATAATTTTATATTAAAATGTAAGCACGATTTATCGCCCGCATTGTCCACGTCAGTGCTGCGCGGTTAAGATCATCAGGTGAGCGGATCTCTACTATTTTTTAGGTCTCCTTTGGAGTCAGCTCCCGTGCTATTTAAACGCCCTGCTATAATGTATCTTAAGAATACCTAGAATGCCTCTTGTTTGTATGGTCACATTATTATACACTGTGCTATGACGCTGTCAAATTTTAAGTCACCAGTGAATATTGATATGAAGATAAATCTCCTTGTATACCCTATTACATTGTTATATTCTATGCATAAGTGACCATTAACTAGCAGTCAATAACTTAAATTTACATAAACACTTAATTAGGTACCGTTATGAATGCGAAAGTTCTCATTTAAATACCACGCATATGTTGATTAAGCATCAACTAGTCATTAAGTTCAGATATTATTTGTATCTCTATAACATCCTGTATAAGTTAGAGTTAACCGTATAAATAAATTACACATACACACTTACAGGTTATAGGAGTCAAATCTAACAATACTTCAGCTGGTGATAGAACTGAAGATAAAAACAAATTTTAACAAACACATAAGTAGACTCACATTACTGCTTTCCGGCAGAAATGGGTAAGGTCTTCGTCGTTCTTTAAACGCTCTTTCGCAAGGAGCTCTACTGCTATTAAATATCTTCTTATAAAATGAAATATCTGAAGGCGTCTTACTAGTTTATATATTAGGTAATATTTATTTTCTACTTTTATCAATTTTATTATCCAAACCAATATGTACGATATGCATCGATAATGCTGTCAGAAAAACCAATGTCAACCCATCGTACGTAGTAGTAGTAGATATCCAACTAGAGTCAAAATAGATTTAAAAGTGACAAGTTATTTTAATTGGCAGCTCGCTTCGGGGACCGATTTGGCCAGTCTTCTTCCAGTTGTGTTTAACGATGTCCAAAATTAGAACATTCCTATGTCATTTTCTAATAATAACAAAAATTTATGCCAGCAAAAAGTATGCTCTACTTTTGTTGTGGACATTAATTCGATGATCCATGAATACAGAGACAAAAAATCCATATGTTAAGAAAAA